GGATACCGACAGAATACGAATATTAGTTAAAACGCAAAATATTTTTGTTGTTTATAGATATCAACAAATCCTTTTCCATAATTAAAGTATACATAATAACGGAGTGCGGGGTTTATGATTTCATATGAAAAGTGAAAAAAAATTAAAAAATTACAGTTTTGTTATCGGCTTCTGCCGTCAACATTTACTTAATATAAAAAACAACCTGCAACCTGCACGTACCTAACAAGTGAACTCCGCACTCGGCATTTTATCAAAGAGTATTAGTGAACTTCGAGAAGTGAGTTTAGAAGCTTTATAAAAAAGATTTTACTATGCAACATTTTGCACACCGAAATGTTTCTTACTAGGCTTTCAAATACATTTTCAAACGTTCACTTATATTCCTTCATGCATTTCCGAGTGGAGAGGTATCCTATTTTGCACGTACACACCGCAAAACCCTTATATTAAGCAAATATATAATTATTATGGCCGATAAAACAGGACGGTCCGGCACACACACACACACATCCTCTTAATACAAAACAAAAACTACTCACGATTATCATATCGGCAGAGTTCGAAAACGAAACATGAATCGCCACTAACTTCATAAAATTATTCTCATTGTTATCAACTCTTTTACATTCAAATCATTAAAATATAATCTCAGCGATAGAAGTTGTTTGTAATATTGTAATATAATAAGCACAAAATATGAAGGGATCGATTTGATTTTACATCACGTTTTGAAAGTGCTTTGAAAAAATTTATTATAAACTATAAGAATCTGTGTCGTGCGTCCTAGTTCTAGTAAAAGTAAAAGGTCAAATTTCCCGCTCTCCAATATAATAGGGAAAATTGCCGCGAGATGGCGAATATGCAGACTTTCATTTGCGAATCGGATTTCTATCAGTTGCGCAACTAGATCACGAAAACTGAAAACAGTAATTGTGCACCGACGCCACGACTGGCGTATCGGCAAATTCTACATAGAAGCCTTGATCAGCCATAAAGAAGAAGAAGAAGAAGATGATGAAAACAATAATTCGATGTGATCGTGTATCGTGTATCGTGTTACAAAGTGTTACAATCTCCTCCGTTAATTTTTCATAACCTTTTTATCGTATTTGTAATTAATTGTGAGCAGTGAGCAAGAGAGAATGTGCCACGTCCCGCTTGTTTTCTGACAGACGTTCAGGTTCAGGTTATTAAAGGTAATTCTAGTTTTATTCTAATTTCCGTGACAATCTCTCTTGTAATTCATTACGTCGGTTTGCGGTTTCATCAAAATGACCTTTGGCCGCTCGTGCAATCTCGATATAGCGTCGATGACGAATCATTGGTTCGTCTAGTCTCATGACGATCAGGCTATGTGATGTTATTTTATGACCGCAAATTGTTTATCTCGCGCTCGTGTGTCGCCATGGTGACACTGCATTGTCAATCGTGCGAGCACGTGATGCGACAATTGTTGCCGCACGTCAGATGCAGGCGCGAGATTACCATTTCTATTTACGTATACGCTATCTTTAATTTTCGTTCCAGAGTAAAATTCTTTAATTAACTCTCATGATATTTCAATTGCTTAACTAATTATCCGTTTCTTTCTAATTTGTGATACAGTACTTTTCCTCAGTTCTCATTTTTTAAAAGCAATTTTCTAATTGTAAGATGGTATTATATATTCTAATATTCTCTCTTTAATATATATTTTAATTGTGCAAACTTAAATTCGAATATATGTATATATACGATTTCTTTGCATAAAAAAAAAATTACAAATCAAAATAAAATCTATTTTATCGCTTAGAGTTTAACGAGTATAATTGAAATAAAAAGAAGAAAAGAGAGAAAAGAATAATATAATATAACTATCGAATATTTTTAGAATTCAATTATCGAATATCTTTAGAATTCAATTTTGCGAAAAGAGAAATTTAAATATATACACTCAAAAAATGGTCTTGTAACTACAACAACAATTTTCTAGGTGCGAAATATTAATTGATATAGATAAATGATAACAAATACTGTGATGTGCTTTACACTGAACCAATCTAAATGATAGAGACAGAATTTATATCTCTCTGAATTGTTAGTAAAATTTACAAAGAAAGTCTTTCTGTAGCGTCTATCCATATATATTAATCATACTTGTTATAAAGTTTGAATGTGGTACACAGAAAAATCCAATGCATATTTATCCAATGCAGTGATAAATATTTGGCAGTGAAATCTAAATTTGTCAGAAGATATTACTAGAATTTTCTACTATAAATTCTACATGTTACAAACAATGTTCTAGCAGATACAAAAAATAGAGTTAAATTTTTATTGTAATATTTAGAAATCTATCACCAGCAAAATATTTTTTTGAGCGACGTAATTCAGCATCATTGATACATTTTGCCGAATCTGTTTATCGGCTCGCTCAATACGTGATGAGTAAAAAGATGTACATATATTTACATATATACATATATTTACATATTCATCTTTTTACTGAGCGAGCCGATAAACAGATTCGGTACAGTGTATCAATGATGCTGAGAATTATACATTTAAAAAAATATTTTGCTGACGGTAGATTTCTAAATGTTACAATAAAAATTTAACTCTATTTTTTGTATCTGCTAGAAATTGTTTGTAACATGTAGAATGTATAGCAGCAAATTCTAGTAATACCTTCTGGCAAATTTAGGTTTCATTGCCAAATATTAATCACTGCATTGGATATATATGAGTTTCTATACTACAATTAGAACGATCTTTGTGAGAAACAATTTTTCTGTGTACCACAGTCAAACTCCTCGCTAAACTCCTCTACAATGATAAAATAGATTTTATTTTCATTTGTAAATTTTTTTCATGCGAAGAAATCGAATAAGTATATATATCTAACTGAAATTATCCGAATAAAGTCGTGTTTGATTATGAAACTTTTATATCATTCTAAAATTTCCTTGATCCGTTAAAATTAATTGTATAAAAAGTAAAGATAAAACATGTAAATTTTATTTTTCGTTATTTGTGAATTATTTATTCATCGTTCAGATTCCGATATTAGATAAAGCTTAGAACTCACTGGCTCGAAAAATAATGCGGATATCTTCTAACGAAACAAAAAAAAATTTCTTATAACGAGAAAACATGTATAATAAATCCAAGATTTACGTCCTACGTAGATTATCTAAAATAAACTTCAAATGTTATTGCGCATAGTTTTCGCGCTGGAGACGCGTTTAATCTTCTCCGTTCCTCTGTTCACCGCCGATTTCCTAAGCTGCTGCTGCTGCTGTTGCTGCTGCTTCTTTTTCTTTTGCTTCTTTTTCGTGATCTTTGGCTTACCCGAGTCCGATGAAACGTCATCCGATGTCGTGCTCTCGCAGAAGGCATCACGGTAGCATGATCGCGCCGGTTTCGCCTTTGCACCGACACAGGTGGTGGCCACTGCGCCGACGCCACGGAATTTCCGGCGCTGTTCGAGCTTCCACTGTTGCCTCTTCGGCGACGTAGCCGACGCTGCTAGCAGTTTCAACGAATCCGCCTCGATAGTTAGAAAAGAGGAAGAGATTTTCGCGCTCCTCGCATCTTTAATCCTAGAGTCGAAGTTTACCGCCCGTTGCCAATCGAGTTTCGAAATCTTTTTCTTCGACGTCTTCTGCCCGTCCGTTCGCGCGGATGTCTTCAGCTGGGACGCGTTCTTCGCGACGACCTGTCGCTTCCGCCGCGACTTCTTCCGCGTCTTCCTGACATCGTCTTTGTCTTCATCGTAAACGAGCAACTGTACTTTCTTGGACTGCGTCTGTCTAAAACGAAATGATAAACATCATGGGCGATAGAATGTATTTTTTCTAAAGTGTAGGATTCGAGAGTGCGATAGATTTTAGACTCGGTTATAAACACGATCCAAAATTTTATTCCGATATGCGTGACACCGTGTATGTCATCGATACACTTATTTTATGGACACCGTGTATAAATTGAGGAGTAACTCACTTTAGCGTGACCTCTTCGTCCGTGAGATAGTGCATCGGAGCGTATCTGGAAACACCCCAACTTAAAGGTGTCTTAACGAACGCATCGACGAGACGTCCCGTATCGTTGCCCTCCGCGACAGATGGTATACCCGTCCAAATTTTTCTCCTCAATGACGTTAGCTTGATTCTCGCATCTCGATTCGTCGGCGATATCGTTGACGGATTCTTTATCGTTCTGACAGATACGAATCGATTATATAATTTTGCGAATAAATACTTTACAACAGAAACGTTATTGTTGAACACATAAGATATTGCTTCCATTACCATTTTATTAGATTAAATGACCAAATTATTAATATATTATTATTACATAAAATAATAAAGCGGGCTAATATGCATGAAGTGGGAAATAATTAATAAAAAATAAAAAATACCTATTTTACGAATTGATATTTCTAGCAATTTTTATTAAAAATGGCACGAAGATAATTTAACGTTTAAAATAAAATTCTTTTGAATTTTTCAAAAGAATTTTTTTACCTCCACTTATTATCGTACGATTGGCTCTTATTAGCCCGTTTAAATTATATTACAATATTGAGAGCCTTATATATATATATTATTATTATTATTATTATTATTATTTATGTGTATGTCTGAAAATTGAATGTGATATAATAAAAAAAATAAACATTACACTTTCCGAGATGTTAGATTTTACATTTTATTGTTAATCAAAAATCTGGTGATAGCCATTAAAGAAACGTCAATTTTAATTTTTACCGATGATTTTTGTATATCTTCTTTGGAGTAGAAGAGGACGAAGAAGAAACGACAATTGACACTTTACCCAAGACATCGCGATCGTTGGTGAGTCCTCCGATAATCTTTGCGCGGCAACAACTCTCCGAAAGATACACTGCGAGATCTGACGATTTCCGGTAGGATCAGCGTTTTATTTCGTTGTCTTTCATCTCTTTCGTCCGTCTCTCTCTCGGAAAGCTCGATAATCTCTTCACGATGCTCTCGCGTGTTCCTCCACGCAACTACAAGATCCGCACAAACGCATACATATCGATGTATAATACAATTGTAATTGACATTGAGATATTATTGGATTAATAAATATATACTGTCATATTCTCTTCCTTCGCTTCTTATGAAACTTTCATCAGCCGAATCGGTCAAATCACATAAATCGCTACCTGGATCCGTGGTCGGTAAGTCCATTACTGCACGTTGCGTCTATTGACAAAAATATTTGTTATTTCTGATGATGAGGATGTCGCGATATGTTTTTCCATAAAATTCGTCGTGTAATTTTTACACTTTCCCGAATTAGCTATAGAATAATTATAGAGATATACCAGGTTTCTTCTGCGCTCCAAATATATTCTTCCCGCGACGTCCCTTCTCGCTCTCCTTCTGTAAAGACCAACACTTCTCGGTGGAACGAAAGTCGGCGACGGTGGAGGCGCGCAAAGATACCGACGACGACCCGCGAGGAACTCTCCGCCTTCGCTGGACCATGCAGCATCCGTGTACTCGATTCCTTCCTCCTCCGACGAGAAGCTCTCCTGCGAGATGTCTCCTTCGTCACTAATCAAAATTCGTTCAAATCGCAAAAATTTTCCGCAGACGAGATACAGAATATAAAAGACGCATTATTATAAGAAGGCTATACCTTGAGTAATCTGTCAAATCGATATTGGTAGGTTCCTCGGCGCTGGACCCTTCTTTGGTCAATCTGGCTATGATCTTATTCCGAAGTTTTTCCTGTCGAATCCGTGTTTATTCAGGATTTGTTGCAAAGTCCATCTTTAAGTATTATATAATTATGTAAATTAGATTTTTCGCACGAGTGCCTTCAAATTCACAGAATATGAAGACACTATGATTCGTTAAAACAACATGTTATTTTTTACTTACTTATAATACAAGTTCCAAGGAAGCACATGAATAATTCATTGAGTAAATTTGTGATAAACAGAATTGGATGGATTTAAATTTTGACCTTTTTATTACAAATGTATGGTGGCTGTATTTTCTTGCGTGAAAGTTAGTATAAGTATTTGAATGTGAATAACGACTTTACTTACCGTTTAATATCATATCTCGGCATACCATAATTTGCAAGAAAATGCAAGGAAAGTGTAATCGAAATATTAATTAAATAGACGACATTACCTTCATCGGATCCTGATCGAAAAAATCGAGTAGGGTCTCGCAGA